AAAGAGTGTGTTATATTTGTAAATAGCAATGATTCGAGTGCAATGTGTGTTTTTCTCTTAAAGTGAAACATTTTTTTTTCTTTTTGTTTTGCTACGGTTATTCATATGAGTGCAAAATTTCTGTGCTTATTCAATAAAGGTTATATATATTATTGTTATGTTGTGGAGCCAGAGCACCCACAATCGTTGCAGCACCAAAGGGAAAGAACTTCAACACATGTGCTTGGAATAGCAAAGTTTGAAACGTGCATAGCATGATTCGAGTGCAATGTGTGTTTTTCTCTTAAAGTAAAACATTTTTTTTTCTTTTTGTTTTGCTATGGTTATTCATATGAGTGCTAAATTTCTGTGCTTATTCAATAAAGGTTATATATATTATTGTTATGTTGTAGAGCCAGAGCACCCACAACCGTTGCAGCACCAAAGGGAAAGAACTCCAGCACATGTCTTGGAATAGCAAAGTTTGAAACGTGCATAGATACGTAGATCGGTGTAACTACGCCACATACAGATGTGGTCATAAATGGCCTGAGGCTATCAGACGAGCCCCGACCATCCCTAGGTGTTCTAAATATTCGAGTACCACACCTTACACATGGGGGGATTCAAACCTGTGACACAAGGTATCATCATTAAAGGGGGTAACTTAAACAATATTTCCGTCATCTGGCTCTCCATGAAGCAGTACTAGTAGGACAAACCCAGAGTCAGTCCTGATTTTACTTGACACAATTTAGACAAGTTCTTTTTTATCACACATTTAGAGAAAACAACAAAGCAGTTCACCATTATACATGAATTACTTTACAAGAAAGTTTTTTCTTAGACTTTTTAAAATGTTAGTCAATCCATTTTGCTTTCCTTAGGGATGATAGATCCAATTTTTTACATGCATAGTATCACATATTGCAAGATTTCATGAATTAGGGCTGATGGATTCACTATTGACATTATAATATTTGAATAAAAAAGAAAATAAAAAATCTTCCTTAATTGAAGATAACATCATAATTGTCTATTATTTTATATCATGCGGGCTTAAATCTCACATAGGAGATCTTCATTATGTAAGTGTTAAATTTGTGAATACATAAGAATTGGTGGTATGTAATTAAATGCCTCTCTAAAATTTCACGAGTATTCAATTAAGAAAATAATAACAATCAGACAACGCTTCAACATAAAAATAATTAGACCAAACAAAATTATACAAGAAATTTACATACATTCAACACAATTCACATGTATTTACATATCTAACACCCAATGCTTGATATTTACACTTGTAACACATTGGTGTCAAAAACCTATCATGAAAAGATGTATTTCAATTTTAAAAAGATAATGATCGTGATATTGTTGATGTGATGTTAACGATTTGATAAATATATATAGATGAATGTTTGTGTTAGATATTTAAATGCATAAGAATTGTGTGGTATGTATGCGTGCCCCAAATTATGAAACACTCATCTAAGGGTCTGTTTGGGGTAGTATGTAGCTTTTTAAAAAGATGATTGTGAGCTATGTTGAAGAAAACAACTTCTTATAAAGTTATAGTGAGAATTATAAATATATAACTTTTTTTTCCAAAAAAATTAGACAGAAGTTTTCATAATCACCGCATGTTAACATATCAGGTTGAAAAATTTAATTTCTAATCACAGAAATATCTAAAAAGCAGTTCACCAAACAAAAGTGTTGTGGTGGTCTGAAATGCAAAACAAACAAAAATATGACAACCCAAATTCTCATCCATCAAGATATTATCCATTTTGGCCAAATGGTCTCATGCTTTTGTCCCATTGGTGTAACTTCCTAGGAGGTCGCCCATCCTATGAATGTTCCAATATGAGCACGCTTAACATTAGATTTTCTAATGAAATTCCATCATTACACCAAAATACGCCTCAATTTTTAAGGATTTCACTATCTCCCTCACTTACGTACCTAATGCCGTTGTCAGTGCTCAATACCCGGAATCATCCATTATGAAGATAAGACTCTAAAGGCGGCCCCTACAGATTCAATAGATAACACTCACCAAGTAGCACTTTCTCCCATCCAAGGTTCAAGATGTGGCTTTTATGGCATAGCACTTTGTTTTGTATAAAACTTAATTTCCATCCTCCAACTGGTGTAATGCTCTGATACCAATTTATGATAGCAAAAACTCTCATCCATCAAGGTATTATTCACTTTGGTCAGGTGGTCTCACGGTTTTGCCCCATTGGTGCAACTTTCCTGGAGGTCACATATCCTATGAACGCTCCAGGATGAGCATCTTTAACTTCAGAATTTCTAATGAAATTCCACCGTTACACCAAAAGGCGCCATAATGATTAAGAGTTGTCTGAAACAGACCATAACTCTTTCAAGGAGTGTTTTTATTTTCTTTGTGGGACCATTTTGTTGACATGTGTAACTACCTATCTTAATGTTTATCAATAGCAAAGTGAGTAAAATCTATTGAAATTTTCATTACAAAATTCTACACTCGATAGTTTTTAAATTTTTCTGATTCTTTGACTTCATATTAGTGATTAATTTAAAAAAAAATCATCCTTTAATTCAAGCAAAATATTGAAACTTTTTCAGAATAATCATTAAGACAAGATAAACAATGATTATTTTCATTATGTAATCAATAACACAAAAAAGTATATTGTTGGAATTCTACTTAACTGAAATCCTGACGTTCTGAGATAAAAGGAAATTAAGAGCATTATTCTTATTAGGGAAGAGTGTGCACTGTTTAGAGGAGAAAGCATCAGAGATAGGAGCATGATTAAGCTTTGTCTCAAGGAGGTAGATAAGATCAAGCTTGTGGGTCTTAACAAAGTCTTTACAGTTAGAAATTTTAAAATTGCTTTAAAAAAATTTGCCATTCCAAACTGCCATATCAGGGTAAAACATAAAATACAAGGCTATTGTGGTGGAGGTCCACTTCCTTAAGGTTTGCCTTTTCTAGGCATGGATGTGGAGGCAAGGGAAGGGGAAGTTAGAAGGTTGAAAAAGGGAGCTTGCAACAAGGGGAGGGATCTAGAAGGAGTAAACTCAATAAAGTATCAGGGAGATTCTCATCAGGATTTGTTGGGGAAATGTTAAAGTGGCTCAAGGTCATGAGCTTCACATTCAGATGAAAGAGAAATTTGAAAGGAGGAGAATATGTGTGAGGGAGGGACATTAAGTTCAGGGGTAGAATTGGAGGAAAAGGAGGGAGGGGGAGGGGGTGGGGGGAGAGGAATTGACTGCCGTGGCTTCTAAGATCCAATGAGCTTTTGGATCGACTTCTGCCTTTGAGTGAAGGGAAGATAGGATTGGGCTTATAGTTTGGAGATTTTGGGCATGATTTTGGATCATGGGAAAAAGTGATATAAGAATTAGATGGATGAGACTTCCATTCATATATAATAGGTTGTATAAAATCCTTTCCTTTAACATCAATAATAGATGTGTCTGATAAAGTAGAATGAGTGTTGATTTGAACACTAACTCGAGCAAACGTGAGGTGAGTTCTCTTAGCTGTTAAGGGATCAACGATTAAGGGAATGCCTATTGAGTTAGCTATCTTAAAAATTTCATTTTCAGTCCAACAACACAAGGGAAGATTGAGAAGTTTAACCTAGATGAGTACTGCAGAAAATATTCTACTAGTGGGTCGAAACTCAAGTGACCATCTCTTAAAAATAAAAGGCTTTCCACTTATAAACCACAGTCCACCATCCATAATCATGTTAAGATCCTCCAAAGAAGTAAAGTTGAAGAGAAATGAACCGTCTAAGCGAGGTATAAGCTAAAACATACCTTCCAAATTTTAGTAATAGTTTACATGAGATTGCCGTAAAATGGTTTACGTGTGAGATAGGTACCTACATTAGAATTGTGTGCAATGTATGTAAATGCCAATAAAAAAAAACGACTTCCAATATATAGATCAATTACCCAATTTAACATGCAAATAAATTGTGCATCCTCAACCAAAACTGTTCTAGAATGTTAGAGATAATGTTGAAATCCTAAATTAAATTCTCAAAGTAATAGGCATTGAAGACCAGGTATTCTAAAAATATTTTTGATGGCTTGAGCATTCACAAGGGAGATTAATAGATGCACCAATAAGATAGAATACAAGGAAAAAAAAAAGAGGAGTAACTCAAAGTTTACATAACTAAAACTTGTGATAGATGGTTTGAACAAAAATTAAAGGAAGATTTACATACATACCACTCAATCCCTATGAATTTACATCTCTAACACCTACACTTCAATTTTTAGTTTTTTACATATATCCACCTTACCTAAGCATGAAAAGATGTATTTCACTTTTTAAAAGTTAAAATAGTGTTATTTTTTATGTGATATGAAAATTTCGGTGGCTGAAATGTAAAAACCAAAGTTTATGTTTTAGATAAGTAAAAACAATCATGATGAGCAAGCTACACTACAGAATCTACCATTGTTGACCAAACAATAAAAGACTTAATTTTGCATCACAACAAAGAAACAATTACAAGTACCAAAATGAAAATGCAAATAAAAAAGACAGAAATTTCATCATATGCATACGGTAAATATGCATAACATTAGTAACAACAAGAAAGTTCCCCTCTATAAAGCATTCAAATCATCATATGGTTCAAGGGAGCTCACCTCACCTCCCAGAAACTTATTCATCTTCTTCCAAAATTCCAATTTTGAACTGGAAGACAAAAAATTGCAGCCATTAAATCTCTGAATCCCCAGTTCCAAAGAGTCTGACCCTCGACAATGGCGACTGCAAGTAGGCATTCACCTCTCCCTTCTTATCGGAGAGCTCGTTGTACTTGGCAAACTTCTCCCTGGCCTCCTTGTTACGATCGAGCAGAGTATAGATCACCCCCTGGCAGAAATAAGGGCGGTAGTCCTTAGGGTCTTCCCTTGCGAGCTCGTCGTAGGTGGACAGAGCTTCCTCCACCCTTCTCTGAAGATACTGAATCTGCGCCATTATAAGGCGCACGTCACGAGCTGCGGCTTCCTTGTGCTCGATTTGAGCGAGCTCCAGCGCGCGCTGGAGGCGCTCGATGACGGCGTCTCCCTCGCCGCAGCGGTCCATCAGAACAGCATTCTGGAAGAGAGCTTCGAAAGAGAGGGGATTGGAAGCAAGGATTTCCTCCAACAGCTTCCGTGAGTCGGCCAACCAACCCATCTCGTTCAGGAGCCTCGCCGCCATGAATTTCCACTCGGTCTCCGCTGGCTGTTCCGACATTAGGCGGCGGAGGATTGTGAGAGCCTCCATATCCTCCCCTTCCTCCAGCTTCTGATACAGCTGAGAACGGAGTGAGGAGAGAGGGGAAATCTCGTCGAGCTTTGTGGCCTTGTTCTCGAGTTGTACCTCGCCGTCGACATCGGAACTCTCCACTGACACCGATGAAGTTGGGGGCTCGGCAAGAGCAGGATATTTCCTGCCGGAGAACAAACCGATGAAGTTGGGGGCTCGGCAAGAGCAGGATATTTCATGCCGGAGAACAAACCGGCGGTAAACCGGCGGTGGCGGCGGAAAAAATGACGGCCCCTGCGGCGATTGTTTTGATTCTACGAGCTATGAGAAGCGGTTTCGATTCTGAAGAAGAAGCTTTTGCCAACGAAACAGTGGAAACCCTAGAGTTGAAGGTCCGGCGAAGGGGGAAGCGGAGGGTTTTCGTTTGAGGAAAAATATTTCGTTTTGAAAGAGTGGGGAAGGAGAGAAGTTGCTCGCCCGAAAAGGAGGTGGCAGCGGCGAAGGAATCCATGGCGTGGAGACTGCGGTGAGATCAAAATGGTATCTTGGGATCGAAAATTGGGATTAGGGTTTTGAAGGTTCTGCTTGAGTTTTCTTCGCGGTGGTTGTTGGGAGGGGAAGGACCGCGAGGGCTGTTGTAAATTGAAAACTGGCAATGCATTCCCTGCTTTGCACATCACCTGAAACTTGATATTTACAATTCAACCATTCCCTTTCGTTTATTTTACAAATTGTCACTCAAACATCAAACTGCATGATAAAGACCAATCCATATTTTTCCATTTTCATCAAAGTCAATTAGAGGATTATTTGTTTGTAAATATCAATATTTTTGGGGGGCTATATGTAATTGTCCAAAAAAAAGCATTAAAACATTATTTTAAGCTCCCTATCTTAGAATTGTAACCCCCTCAGTTTACCAATAGTTTTTACCTTTTTGCTTTATATATATATATATATAAATAGAGAGAGAGAGAGAGAGAGAGAGAGAGAGAGAGAGATTATTACCCAAAGGTGAATTATAATTAATATATAAATAAAATTTCTAAATAAAATTAAAAAGAGTATAATATATGCTTAATTTATTTTATTTTCAAATAGATTTAATTTTTTTTATCTTAATATTATTCTATTCTTCCTTATTTCTTTAATTTAATAAATTTATAAAATTATCCTGAGATTGAAAATCATATATTTAAAAATTTAAAATAAAAAAACTTAATAAAATGAGCCACATTTTCATCCATAGTAGTGTGATGATTTTGTAAAAAGGAGAGTTGGTGCATGAGATAAGTATTTGCACAAGAATTAGAAAAATATTATGTGCGACATTAGAATATATCGATGATAGCATGAATTGTACCACGTTATCATGCATAATAGTTTGATGCAAGCCATATCGTCTTCCAGATATCTGACATTCAAGATGTCATTTTTTCTCATTCAAAATAGATCATAATTTGAAAAAAAATATTACGTTCAGAGTCAGTCAAGACGTAAGTTGCGTCCGGATAACGGCTGCGATCCATTGGAAGTTGTTTTTCTTCCTCCTCCGCTCTTTTCGATGGATCACAACCATTGTCTGTACTTAGCTTGAGCCCGAACACTAGACATAATATTTTTTTTTTTAAGATTAGAGTACTTGAAGAAGAGTAGAGGTACAAGAAACTTTATTTGATTTCAGCAAAAATAATATTATTAATAATTGATAATTTCGCACCTGTAAAGTAGATTCAAGAATATTTGGAATGCGTCAAATATGGAGCGAGTCAGCGAATGGAATATTCTTCTAAAATCCCCATAAAAAAAAAATAATTAATAAAATCTCACAAAATATTTGCAAAAGGAGCTGATCTGGCTTGCTTTCTGCCCGGAAGCTCAATTCCCCTTTTCTTCCTCCCCCGTTTGTTCTTCCTTTTCATCAAAATTTTTCTTTTCGATTCTTTCTCTGTAAATCAGATCTCCATGGAGGCATCGATACGTTTGCTACGAAGGAAGTAGGGCCGGCCCCGCTGGCGCCGCCGTCGCCGACGTTCCGGCGAGAAGAGCTTTTTCAGCGGCGACGGAGGCGGCGGATTCTCAGTTTCCGGCGAGCCTTATGAGGATTTCGCGGCCGGCGCAGAGGGATCTGAAGGAGCGGAGCGTGCAGTGGGTGTTTCTCGGCTGTCCCGGAGTGGGGAAAGGAACGTATGCGAGCCGTCTGTCCCGGCTACTCGGTGTTCCTCATATCGCCACCGGTGATCTCGTTCGAGAAGAGCTTGCTTCTTCTGGTCCTTTGGCTCGGGAGGTAGTCTATATTTTCAATCTTTCTGTTTTACTGAAGCTTGTTTCATCGTTCGATTTGCATTGTCGGGGGTTTTAGAACCTCTTTGAACAGTTTCTGGTGATGCAGACTTTAACCCTGGAGCAGATAAACCCTAAAAAAAAGCACCTATACTTTTTCCCTTAAATGATGGGGATCTACTGTATGAGAATTCGTCTAGGCAAGGATAGCGTTCAAATTGATAGAGATTAGGGTTCGATTTGAGAATATTTTGATGAGAATTCTAGTGAGGCTGAATCCTACAATTTCTCATACATGTTTTAGAGATTAAACAAAATTTACGGAGAAATTTAGTAAAGTTTTATCTAAAGTTATAATTAAGTTTCAAGATATGAACAAGGGACTTTTCTAGGATCTGGCCAAATTGGACACTTTTGTTCAAGAAGAATGCAAAGGGAATTGTTTTTTCTAGGAATATGTACATACATACCTTTTATTTTCTATGCATTTACATATCTAATATCTAAACTTCAATTTTTACATATATGCCAACTTGCCCATGCACGAAAAGGCGTATTTCACATTTTAAAAAGTTAAACCGGTGATATTTTTGCTGTGAAATGAAAGATTTGCATGGTATAAATGCGAAGTAAAATTTAGGTGTTAGATATGTAATTTCATTCGAATTGGGTCGTATGTATGTAAATGCACCCTTTTTATTCTTAGATGAAAATTTTAAGCCAAATATATATGGGGGCATGCCATTACTTGGTGTCTCTAACACATGGAAATAGTAGTGGGCTTCCCCTGATGTTTGTGGCTTCTTATGCAGGGGAAAGTAGAAACCGGCCTCCTAAATTGTGCAAATTCAATACGATTCGAGCTAGTTTATGACCGAAAAGGGTGTTTCGAGCTAGGGGTATCAAAATGGACCCAACGTACTAATGGAATGCAAATTCGACTCGAAAAATATGGCTTTAGGTTGACACAAATAATTTTTGGGGCAGGTTCGGGTCAGGAATCCTAACTCGTTTAATTTGTTAGCTCGAGTTTAGGTTGACCTGCCAACTCCTAATTGACCCAAAACCAACCCACTAAATCAAAATTAACATCAAAATTGACCCGTCAACCTAAAATTAACTCGAATAACTATTATGTTATGTTAAACGAGTTAAACAGGTCACTTTTGGTTCAACTAATTGAAGGTGGGTTGGTTTTGGGTCATGAAGTTTCAAAATGGGTCAATTTTAGGTTAGACCCAAGCCCAACCCATAAGCCATATTTGTCACCCCTAGCTCTAATCAATTCAAACTCTAGTTTGCCTTTTTCAGGCATTTCCGGACTCTGATTGACCATTCGGAAATAAGGGTTCAATCAATTGAGCCAATTTGGGCATCAACTCTGGAATTCAATCCAAGCTAGACTTTTGATTTATATTTTTATAATAGTGATTGATATTCGTGCTTTGCATCCCAAAAGTATGCTTAAATTTTATTATTTATATATTGATTGATTTTCACTTTCAATTAAAAATCATGCTTCCAATTAAGTATTTGGTGGTTTAGGCATTAGAGCTATATAAGAAATTTGGGTTATTGTGGCATTACTCATTATGAAGCTGTGCTTCTAATTGAGAATTGGTTGGTTAGAGGTGTACAAGTTACTTTAAATGAATTTTTGCATTTCTAATCTAACAGATCGCTTGTAAACAAATATACCATACATTCTTGCAAATGTCATATTTAGCATTTTAGCTCAAGTTATTCTTCATTTTGTGAATTATTTTCATACAGTAAAGAACAGTTATTTGTAAATCCAATAAAAAAATACTTGCTAATATCACTTGTTTTTTTTTCATTCCTTCAGCTTGCTGCAATTGTAAACAAAGGAAAGCTGGTCTCTGATGAAAATATAATCAATCTCTTATCTAAACGTCTTGAGAGTGGCGCTGCTAAGGGTGAATCAGGCTTCATTCTTGATGGTTTTCCGCGAACTGTTAGACAAGCGGTGAGGAACCGGTACATGACTCTTATACAGATTTATAAATTTAGATGTTTGTTTTTTCCTATCTGGTTAGCCCCCTCATTCAAATCATATCATTTCAATTGTTTTCTACTCCATGGTTTTGTAATGCTTTCATAACCATATAAATAATATGTCTAGTGGTGTTTATTTTTGTTGGCATAATAGATCCATATTTTTTAGATGTTAGTTGATGAATGATTTTCGAGTTTCTTAGTTTACTTAACACTTTTAAAATTTGGAAAATGTTTTAAATACGTGTTATTCATTTTTTTTATAATTCTTCTTAATGAACAAGTTATCTTTTTGGTAAGAATCAGCTGAAACCTTTTCCTGTCACTTGGACAATACTGGAACATGTTATAATTTATGTTTCGTTTTACAAAAGCAACTCAAATGGCTTGTAGTTTATTTTATTGTTTTATAAAAGAAATTCGAAAGGCTTTAGCTGCTGAATATTTTTCTTCATAGGAATAATATGGGGTCTGTTAAGAACAAGCTTGTGTTTGCGTTGTGTTTCAAACGTCAACATAACTCTATTTGGAGAACTGTTTTCTTGTTACTTTTTAGAAATTTTTTTGGTGGAAAACTACTTTTTGCAATCATGTTTGTTAAAATGTGGTGGTTGTAAGAAAGCTGATGTATGAATTTTTAGAAAAAGATAAATAGCTTTAATTTTCGCTGTAGCTTTCTAAGAAATTATTTTTCTCACGACAATTTTACAACCAGATTTACAAAAAGCTACAACCATCCCAAACAAACCATTAGTGGCAATGCATATGATGTAGGTTTAATTCTCATTTGACCTCCTTTTATTCATTATGATTTTGCTTGGATTGTGGTGTGCCCTTTAGATATCTTTTCTTTTGGTCCACTTAGGACATGGATTTCAAGTGCTTCTTTGCTTTTCATACTAAAACTCTACATTGTCTTATCTTCCTTTAGGAAATACTGGATGGATTCACCGACATTGACCAGGTGATCAACCTGAAGCTCAGAGAAGATGTTCTACTTGAAAAGTGTCTTGGAAGAAGGATCTGCAGCCAGTGTGGAGGGAACTTCAATGTTGCTTCTATTGATATCAAAGGAGAAAATGGAAAGCCTGGTATATACATGGAACCACTTCTGCCACCGTCGAACTGTGCGTCGAAGCTCATTTCTCGAACTGACGATACTGAAGAAGTCGTGAAAGAACGTTTACGAGTATACCAGGCCACGGTAATACACCACCTCCTCCTTCATGTACTTTTTGTTTATAACATTAAGTTGTCGCTACTGTAACTTTGAGTGATAGTATTATTTTTGGTAGGTAGGGTAATTTACATACATACCACTCAATTCCTATGTATTTACATATCTAGCACCCAAACTTTCAATTTTCACTTACATACCACATTACCTAAGCATGAAATGGTGTATTTCCCTCTTTAAAAGTTAAAATTGTGGTATTAGATACATACCACTCAATTCCTATGTATTTACATATCTAACACCCAAACTTTCAATTTTCAATGCCACATTACCTATCCTATGCATGAAATGGTGTATTTCCCTCTTTAAAAGTTAAAATGGTGGTATTTTTATGTGATATGAAAGGTTTGAGTCTTGTAAATGTAAATGTAAAACAATTGTGTGGTTTGTATGTAAATGCCCCTTTTATTTAATATTCAAGGTTCCCATGTGGTCCCTGCTTGCTCCTGTTTGTTCCGAAAGGAAGTAGTATGGTTTCCTGTACTGTGTAGCTGAAGTGTCCTAAACTGGTTTTGGGGCATGCAAATTGTCTTTATGTTCTAGGAGTGCTGGCATTCTATTTTTTCGTCAAACATCACAATAAAAAAGGGAATCTAATTTGGCTCGACTAGGCGAAAATCTATCAAAGAGATTGAAATAAACCAAGATGTCTTCAAGTTTGTATAGCTTAGCATGGTTTTTTTTTTTTTTTTTGTCTTTTTTTAAGGAGTTATGGGTGATTTTGTCATTAAGAATTTCAATCTCACAATCATTAATTGATTGTTGTAGCTTTTTGAATGTTCTAGGATTTTCTAGTGGTTTGGTCATTGAGTTCAATTGATTCCAAATAGTGAGTTACTAGTAATGCCTTTAATTGGTGCCAAATAGTATGTTCCTTGTCTTTTTATCTTTCCTTCTACATTTTTCTTTCTGCCCGTAGCAACAAATTGAGGTTTGATAACTTAGTTTTGTTGCTTTCCAAATGTCTTGTGTTCCAAGAGAGTAATTGAAAGATGATTTTTTCTTGATTTATTGGACATTTGCAGGAGGATGAACCTTGGTGTATGTTTTTTGCTGATGATATCCTTCTCGTGGATAAGATGAGAGAAAAAGCCCAGGAAAAACTTGATTTATTGAGGTCTACATTTGAGTAGAACTAAAACTGAATACATGGAATGTAATTTTAGTAGTAACAGTTCTAGTGACAGAAGTGTAATTTTGGGTGATCAAATTATTAAAAGGTGAGAACGATTTAGATACCTCAGGTTTGTTGTTCACAGTGATGGTGATATAGATGGAGATGTTAATAGTAGAATTCAAGTTGGTTGGTTGAAGTGGAAGAATGATTCGGGCCTTCTGTGTGATAGAAAAGTACCTTAGACTGAAAGAAAAATTTTATAAGATGGTGGTGAGATGACACTGAATGTTGGCCTTTAAAAGAGAAGCATAATACTAAGTTAAGTGTTGCCGAGATGAGGATGATTAGGTGGATGAGTGGCTTTACACTTAGAGACAAAATGCGAAATGAATATCTCCGTGATAGGGTTGGTGTAGCTCCAGTAACGGACAAAAATAGAGAGATTCATCTTAGATGGTTTGGTCACATTAACCGTCGACCATCTGCTGATCCATTTAGGAGAGTAGATGTTTTAGATTTGACTTTTGTTAAGAAAGACAGAGGTAGACCTAGGAAGACTTGAGCTTATTGTATAAAAAATGATCTTAATTTATTAGAGCTAAATGAAAATATGACACTAAATAGGACGCAATGGAGAAAAATGATTCATGTAGTCGACCCCACGTAGTGAGATTTTGTTGTTGTTGTTGTTGTTGTATCTTGTGCGCACTCAACCGTGAAATAATACTAGCTTGCTACAAGGTAGATCAACCTTTAGGAGGAAAAAAAAAACCCTTAAAGAAATCCTCGATACTCGAGTCAATTGTGTGTGATTCACCCCTTTCTAAGAGCTCTTCCTCTTTTTAGTTATTTTTTTACTTTTTCCTCTTCAATATCATAAAGCTCATAATGAATAAATAGCTCATCTTGTACTTTTTCTTTCATTTTTTCATGAAGCTAAGTGAAAGTTGATTTTGTCATTATGAATCATGATCCATTGATCTTTAATTCATCATTGTAGCTTTTGAATGTTTAGGGTTTCTTGGCGAAATGATTTATCAAATAGAGAAGAAAAGGATGTGCTATGGCTTAGAGGGGATTCGGACTTAATTAATAAATTGTATGCCCTTACATAAAAGTTATTGATAATTGTTTTGCATTTCAATGTGGTTATTTGAAGAATCGTTATAGACTCAAGTTTGATTAAATTTTTTACCTAGGTTGAACTTGATTAAACCTATCTATCTAGAGGATTACTAGAATCCTTGCTTGCTAGAGTATGTAGATATAAGTAGCCACGTTTTTTTAAGAATTATGCCTTCATGATGATACGAAGGATTTCTTTAAGAAAAATTGGATTTTTTTTTAGCTCGGATGAGAATTTGTGGAAGGCAATTGGGATTTGAGGATTGAGAAATAAGGAAGAAAATCGAGATTTGAGGCTCGAGAAAAGGTGTTTGTAGCTTGATTGGGCAATAGCATCTTTTTTCTTTTGTACATATGAATTGGTGAGGTGGGTGATGAGACATTGCAAGTCATACTTTTACTAAACCACACTCTATTAGGCAACCACAATCATGGCTTCCTTAAAACGCAAACTAGCAAAGTCGCTAAAAATGCACCGATGTTGTCGTGTGATGCGGAATAGTTTAATATTGCGAAAGACGCAAAAAAAAAAAAAAAGTTTTTTTTTAGTTGCTCTTTAACTTTTACTCGCATTAAATGGTTTTTCTCAAGATCATCAGTTCCATAAGTCTCAAAGAACACAATAAATTCTCAACTCATATTTTTTTCTTGTATTAAATGATGAGATAGTCATTGGACACTCAAATTTATAGGTTTGTTCATTCCTTTTTTCTAGTTAGAAATAATGGAAACATTCATTTTCTTATAAAAGGTTATCAAAATATAGTAATCCTCAAAAAAAAAAAAAAAAAAGATTAAAAAAGGGAAGATTTATATACATGCCACACATTTCCAATGCAGTTACTCTTCTAAACACCTAAACTTTGATATTTATATTAATACCACTTTATCTACACACTTCTTAAAAGTTAGTGATATTGGTGTTATAATTATAATTAAGAATTGTGTGGTATGTAAAAATTTTACTATTTAGATTATTGCAGATTTTTAGAAATGTAATATTTTCTGTCAATTTTCAGAGTAAGCCAGTGGAGGAATTCTACCGCAGTCAAGGAAAGCTGCTGGAGTTCCATCTGCCTGGAGGAATTCCAGAGTCTTGGCCCAGACTTCTCCAAGCACTCAACCTTGATGATTTCCATGAAAATCAATCTGCAGCTGCTCAATAATCATTAAAGAATATATATATATATATATATATTTCAATTATAATGTTATAACACTGATATCTGACGTTGAAAAAGGTGTTCATAGCAGGTATATCATTCCAATGTATTTATTAGTTTTGTTTCTATAAATTACTTATTTTCAAATAAGGGGGAAAAATGCGATCATGTAAATAATTAATTTCATTCAGTTTTGATTGTTCCCACATCCATTTTTGTTTATGAGACTACAAATATCAATTTGTCAGTTGTTGAAACTGCTCTCCCACAGTAATGTCATATTTTTTTCCCCTTCATTACATATTTTTTTATTTGGTAGGAGCTCATGAAAGCCAACATCATCCCTCCTATTAGACATTGTAAATTTGAAAAAAAAAAAAATATTACATTCGAAGAATTCATGCTGATGGGTATACTCAAGGTGTATTAGGGGTGTAGTCCAAATATACTCGAGTGTTCCGATGTACATTTCTAATCTACATGTAGAAATGATCGCACGTAATATTCTCCCATATGTATATATATTTAAATTGGTAGTCGAGAGCCTATTCTTCCAATCAACACGTCCTGAATTTAAAACTCGAATATGTGATGTACATATGTTTACGATTAAATTCATTCGAACTTTCGAAGAAAAAAAAAAATTGCATATTCAAATACATAATACTCGAATATTTCACAAAATGCCAACAGAACATTGATTTTTTTTTAAGAGTCCGAAGATGAGTACATCCAGAGAGAAGAAAAGAAAAAACCGACTATTTTCAGTGTTCACCAAGCACTAAAAATCTCCACGTCTCCTTCTATTGACAGACCATAAAAACCCTGCAACGAAAAATATGGGATATTTACATGTACATACCACCCAGTCCACATGTTTTTACATATCTGACCTCTAAAGTTTGATATTTGCATTTATAACCCTTTGGTGTTAAAACTTATGCATTAAAAAAATTATTTCACTTTAATAATAGTGATTTTTGCTTATATAATACCAAAGATTTGAGAGGCATGTACATGAATAAAGAAGAATTGGGTGTTGCGTAATAAGACAGCAAAAATAAACCTTTTATCGCACTAAATGGGGTGGGCCACAGGAATCATTTTTCTCCATTGTGTTCTATTCAGTGTCATATATATTATATTAAGATCATTTTTTACACGCAACACCTTGGAGTTTTTTAGTATTATGCTTGATAAGATTTAGGAATGATGCAAAAATAGAATGTTAAGGAAAATCCCTAATGCAAATATGTAATTGAATTTAATGGTTGACAAGATGTGGTAATGCTTCCAAATCTGTAATAAGCCAAAAATTCATCCCCAACAAATAGGAGCGAAGCCAGTATTATCTCTAAGGATGGGTAAAATCACTCAATGTCTAATTTTTTAAAGCATTAGACAAAAAAATATGTTTTTGGGGTTTTACTATTCATATAAAGAAATTACAAATTCCAGTTGGACAATTGCCCCACCCTAGACATAATCTAGTTTCGTCGCTGCCAACAGAACAACTTCACCTACCAAATAATTAAGAAACATAAGAGCGGAGATCCTAAAAATCTTCAAATATAACATTTTTCATTTGTGTTTCCATATCTTCTACAGCTAAAGAGTAGTCGAGCTGAACTCAACCACTCTTATGCTTGAGCTTAAACTTGATTAATAATTAAATCTGGGTTCAAGCTCAAGCTTTTCTACGCGTTTTAGTTAGTTCATGAACTAACTTGTTTGCTATTAAAGAGGAAAAATGATGACTGTGAATGAGCAATTAGAGGAGAAACAATAAGAAATTGCTTGATATAAGAAAGCAAAGCATATTTTTAACATATTTAAAATAATATATAATTAAACTTTATATTTTATTATATTTTATATAAATTTTCTATTTATAATTCCTTAAACAAGCCAACTCATGAGCTAAGACGTCGAACCAGAATTGGCTCAAGTTTGGCTTGTTAACTCATCAAGCCAGCACGAGCCGTTTATCGAGCTGAGCCTGAGACAACCAGACTCAGTTACACCCCTAAACATATATAAATGTATTTTTGATGAGGCCAAGCAACACTTGCATCAAAAGAGAAATAATTATAATAATTACAATTTAGCCTAATATTTGTACATTTTACCAGACAGAACCCACATAAAGAGCAAAGAAAAACAACAATTCCAAATAGAACATATAAGTTATCGCAGTCTAAGCATAATTAATAATCCTCCAGTTGTTAATAAAAAGATTTTTTTTTTTTATTTGGTCTGTTTTGGTACCTAAGAACAGCATGCTGAAGCCTTCGACTGCTCAGCTGGTGTGTTTGTAAGAACCACTCCTGCTGGATTTTGAGCTGGTTGGGCACGTGGCAGTCTTTTTGCTGAAAGAATTAAGAGATTTTTAAATCATACTTCAAGCACAAATTAAGAAGCATTCATGAACTATATATCAAAAGAAATAAAATAAAAGAAAATTTATTTACATACCGCATAATTCTTATGTATTTACTTATCTAACACTCATAGTTCGATATTTACACTTATTAATACATTGGTGCTACAAACTTACTCATAAAAATGTGTGTTTCGCTCTTAAAAAGATAGTGATAGTGATATTCTGTATGTGATGTTTATAAATTGAATGGCATGCATGTAAATATCAATGTTTGGGTGTTAGGTATGTAAATACATAAGAATTCTGCGGTATGTAAGTAAATGCCCCTAAAATAAATAATTCAATCAATTAAAATAACAAAACAGATTTTGGCTCAAATTGGATATAGAATGGTTTTAATTTGTGAGAATCTTTAACCAATCTTCTTTCTTGTTCTGGAGTAACCAACCAAAACAAGTCTGAGAGAAGTCGAAATTTTTTTCTATCATAGGCAATGGGTTGTTGGAGAGGAGGTTGGGTATGCAAATATGGAAAGTGTAGTGGCCTTAATTGCTTGATTTTCTCCATCAAGGGACCAAATACTTTTGCTTGATATGTAATGCTTTGCAGGTTGTGTTGTTGATGATAATGATGGTGATGATGATGCTACTCCAATACTTTGACCCACCAGGTTGACCCAAGATGATAAAAGTATGGGATTTTAGTTGGGTTGGATCACCCATCCCCGTCTATTTCCCTAAATCTAAATTTCAACAAGAGCTAAAGTGAGATACTTTTATTGATGATTATTTATTAAAAAATAAAAATAAGTGGGATTAAAGATAATAAGGAGAGAATATAGATGCGGCTAAGAATAAGACGTGAGATAAACTATTTATTATTCCAATGATTCTAACGAATATCAATTGGGTAATAAGAAAAATAGAGACTATAAAATAAAAAATTCAAATGAATTGGGTAATAAGAAAAATAGAGACTATAAAATAAAAAATTCAAATGTTAATGAAATATTATATTTTTGTTTAAGTGAGGGTAGTATAAGTGAGAGAGAAAATATTGATGTTAAACTTATTTTGATTGTTATATTGTGATATTTTAGTATTTTATTCTAATATCTTAGCTTTTTTTTAATAGTTAAATACTTGTATAATTCATCTTATATCTTAATTTGATGTTAGGCTATTAATATGTTACTTCAAATTTTAAGTAATTTATTATTTTTAATTTAGAATGTTGTTACATTAATTTTTAATATGTTAATAAATTTGAATATTAATATATTCTTACTTCAAATTTTATAGGTTATATAATATTTATTAATTTAAGCAATTTTTAAAATTTGAGGTTTACGATTCAAAACGCCTTGAGGCATACGCTTTGTATCATGAAAAAAAAAATGCCTCAATACCCAATTGCGCTATTTTAAATATTAGAAACGCCATAGTACTTTGCAGCCCTTTTCTAGCATTCTAAAAGAGTGGTTGAGGGAGATAGGCCACACCACGCAAGTAAAAAAAAAAGAGAGAAAATAAAATGCTATACTTCATGTTGATAATACAACAATATCGAAAGAGTATAAAAATTTAAAAAACAAAAATGTACCACATTTTAGAATAATCTATCCTCCTCATATGTTGTTAGTTGTCACATGAATTACTTTGTGAAGCACTTCAAACCATTGCTTTTATCAATTTCACAATTTAATAATTAATCTTTAAGTTAAATTTAAAGTGGCATACCGTTGTGCTAAGATTGCTCTTCGGGGTAGTTTTGTTCTTAGGAACATAGATAGGTCTCATGTTCTTTTTTTTTTTTTTGGTTGAGTTTAATTGATGTAAATGCCTAAGTGGCATCATTTTGAATTTTCTTTTTTGTATTTTAATAAAATGCTACATGCACTCTTTAAAAAAAAGGAAAATAATAATAATAATAATACTAACATATTCAACTGCTTAGAACCCGATCCTAACATGGGAGGTGATAGCATTACGATTTTAATATGAAAATGCAACAAAATGAGACCATAAAATAGAAAATTAGTTAAAACAAAATTTCCCTTGACATTAAAATATAGAAAAATTTACATATGCAGCACAAAAGTTTTATGTATCTACATCTCACATTTTCGTACTTACATGCATAACACTTTGATGCTTTAAACCTATGAATAAAAAGATGTATTTGTCTTTTAAAAAGTGGAATAGTGTTTTTATTATGTGATATTAAAAATTTGAGTGCTATGCGTGTAAATATGAAAGTTTAAGTGTGAGATATGAAAATATATAAGAATTGTGTGCTGTGTATGTAAATACTCCTAAAAAATAATATGCCTTCCATTCATCTCCTATTTTCTACCATGCTTGTTCGTGGTTCGCTAATAGAAGCAATAACCCCAATATCATTTACAATGAGTTGAGGCTGGGAAGAGAAAGAGAGAGAAGAATGTTTGATAGAAAAGGCTAAAGAGGGAGAGAGAGCAATAAGTTGGGATGCAACGAAAAGATGCAAAAGACGTAAGGAGAGTAGCTAAGGAAGAATTGAGATATATTGTAATCAAGTATGATATAATGAACTTTAAATGACTCAAAATGAGCACTTTCAGCATGCTAACAGTTAGCCAAACAAGCTAGAATTGAACCAATAAGTAATATTCAATCAATTACAAAGCAATCTTCCTCTATAGTGCGAGACTACATGTAATTCACTGACCTTACACGAGTAAATGTTCTTTCTGAGGGCTCCAAACATTCAAAAACTCCTACTGAAGCCACTAATTCAACAGACTAATTCTAAATCAAAATATTACCTCATGACTTCATGAGTCACAAAACCCAGAACATTTCTTTTCAGACGGGATGAGTGAGACTTGGGATGATTTACTTTATTTACAACCAATCCGTTACCCATTTGAGCACACATGACCCAAAACTTGCAACGTCTAACTCCTGACTTTCCCAATCTAGTAGCCAAGAATAGTTTCATATATATGGTATAAAATTTAGGGAAATTTACATACCAAATAATTCTTATGTATTTACATATCTAAAACCCAAAGTTTGATATTTAACACCTTGGTATAATAAAACTATGCTTGAAAAGGTGTATTTTACTTTTAAAAAATATAATGATAGTGGTATTCTTGATGTGATGTTAAGGATCTGAATGGTATGCATGTAAATACGAATGTTTAAGTGTTAGATATGTAAATACATAAGAATAATGTGATATGTATGTAAATGCCCCTAAAATATATAGGAAGATGTAGAGGAATATATAGGCGAGCTATGATCAATAACCAACAAAATTGAGAAGCATGAGAAATCAGATGAAGCCGACCAGTAGTCCATGACAAATTCAACCCCACTGGATAATTCCAAAAAAGCCCAGCCTTATTTTTATTGATCCAAACAAGGCCAACATAGACTATTATTTTTATTGATCTTCACGCCGTGATAAATGTCTAACATAAGGTGCTAAAAAGTTCGAAAATGGTAATTAAAAGGTTAACACCCATTGTTAATTGCAATGAGTACTCATCTGCTGCTATTTTGTACAGCCCAACTAAATGGCAACTATATGAAATCATAGTCCGTTCTAATTAACATTGTAAGTGAATTAAAATGCATACCTATTTCATAGAATATATCATTTACATTAATGGCTGTCTTGGCAGATGTTTCCATGAAGAAAAGGCCGTTTTCTTCGGCATATGCACGTGCTTCCTGAATAAGAGCACAACAGTTACATTATAAGGGTTTATGTTATCCAGCCAAAAGGCTGCAATAAAATTTTTGAGACATGGCTTCGTTGAATGAAAACATTACCAAAGAACACCTCAAATCAAAAATATTAATAAAAAATAAAATACATTAATCAAAGATAGATAAATAGTTGAGAGAATGAAGAAATAGTACAATCATTTGCTAAGATAGAATAATAGAAAAATGGAAAATTGATAAAGAAGACAAAAGTAGAGCCTATTGAACCCAAAAAAAAAAGTATCCAACAACATCAATTGAGCAAATAATTAAAAGTAATGTCATGTAAAGTGTAGTCACATTAGGAATGCCATAAAATATATACAACAGACATTTTTGCATCCCTCCAAGCTTTTTTTTAAGATATTTTATAAATTATGTAGGGGCGTTTGGGATCATTTTTTGTTCTTGTTTTTTATTTTTTATTTTTTGTTTATTTTCTTAATGTTTTTACTTAAAATAAAATATGTTTGGTACGTCATAAAATAATTTTAAACATTTTGAATATTTTTAAAAACAAATTAATTTATTTTAAAATATAGAAAATAAAAACATGAAAAAATACACATAAAAAACATGTTTTTTAAAAAAATTAAAAAAACAAAAGTGATCTCAAGCAAGCCCTTGGCCCCTTATTATATTAAAACTTAATTAGAACTTAATTAGCAATTAACAGGCAATTGTCAAGGTTGGTGGGTCTTCATAAAGTTAGCAAGTCTCTGTTGAGTAGCTTTGTGTTCGCTAGACAAAGTAGTAGAACTTCTAGCTCAATAATCTATTTATTAGCAAGCCATTATTAGACATTATGAGCCTTTGTAAATGTCTTTATAGATTTCCATTAACCATTGGCGGATAATAATAAATCTATTATTGGCAGAAAATAGCTAGTTCAATATAGCAATTGGGTAATTGATTTTTGTTGATGTTAACCAATTAGGTGATTGGTGTTGGGACAGTCATTGGATAATGAACTACTTAGGGTCTGTTTAGGGCAGCTGCAGCTTGTCAACTTATCCAGATAAACTGCTTATCCTGATAAGCTGCTGATCAACAGCTGATCCGGATAAGTTGTCTGATTGTTTGGTCTGTGTGTTTCGAAAACAACTGATTCTGGATAAACGAGCATTCTACACCTGTTTTGGATAAATTGTTTAACTGTTTGGTTTTTGTGTTTTGAAAACAACTGATTTGCAAATTTTTCTAGGTAAATAAACAATATGGCACAAAGAAGTTGTAATGTTCTCAACAAAACTGCAATGTCTACCTATTAGATATTTTAGAACCAATTAAACCCCTTCGAACTCATTCGTCACATACAGGCCACCAAAAAATTTTTATTTACAAATCTACCAACCTTCTTAATTCAATCAAACAGAGGAGATGCAACTAAAGATTTATGAATTCATCTCTCAATATGAATGTTTACGTGCCAAACATATAAAAACAAAAGAATTGAGTGGTGTGTATGTAAATCTTTCTAAACAAATTCTCGAGAAAAAAACACAATATCATGTGAGAAAGAGTTTAAGCTGCTACAAAATACTAATAATAAAAAACTACTCGAAAAGTTCAGTTACCTCAAAAGATAAATGTATGTACTCTACAAAATATGAAATGTATTTGAAATACATTTAAAGCTGATTGATTGGATGTTAAATAAATTCAGGAGTAAACAAAAACAAAAAATCTCAATGGAATACAGTTCAAATTGTTACATAATAATGGTAGAAAAAACTTCTTAAATAGTTTTCGTCAAAGAGTAACATTGTCTAATTCCTCTAGTGATATCAGGGTTTAGGACTAATGGGTTTAAAGATCTACTTACACAACATTGGAGTTCAGTGCTCCATCTTGTAGTCTCAACATAAAGTAGGGCAAGTAGATATTTTTTTTTAACTCGAGTTTCCTTAGCTTGCAAAAGAATTCCAAGGGCAAGTAGATATGTAGCATTACTCGTCTTAAGTAGCAGAAAAGAAAGTGAAACATCTTAAGATTCAATCATATCATCACATACCGGTAGCAAATAAAGGGAAAATTGGGTGAAAATACTGGAATTTGGTTAAGAAATGTTTTGAGATGAGTGCAACATAAATGCTAAGAAGCATTTACATACCACACAATGCTTATGTATTTACATGTTTAACAACTGAACTTTTAAATTTAACATCAGTGTCATACAAAAGCATTTACATACTAGACAATTCTTATGTCCTGAGGAACGACCTTTAAAGCAATCCTTCAATGAAGCATTTAACATCAGATGTACTGCTATACAGAGGTAAATGAAAGTAGACAACAAGAAAAGATGGAGAGAAGCTCAGCTGACACTGCCGCTAAAGTTGTAGAAGAAAACTGTTTTAGTTATTAATCAATTAGATTAATGAAAAATAACATAAATAAAATCAAATTATAGCCTCAACCCCATCTTCCCCACTACCTCTCCTTCCCAAAACCATTGCATTTGTACCTTGGCCTTTTCGCATTGTAGGCGAAGGATCATCGACATTGTCTCACATGGGTCATCGCTGCCACAGTCCGAACCTGCTGACTAGCTAGGGTTTCGCGGAGGGCTATAGCTCGTTTTCGACTTCCACGAGTGTGAAACCAGCCTGCAGCGCCGCGTCCCGACTTCCATCACAGTCTGCAGCACCACGTCCCTATTTTTGTTGGATTAGCAGGCGGTTGTCTCTTGCGAGCAAGGGAGAAGAAGTGCGGCACCAAAGGAAATAAGCGATCAAAAAAATTGGCCCGCGGGCCGTGTGTTTCACAAAATTAAAATGTCGTTTTTAGATACGCACGCGAAATGCGGGATCCAAACGCTACGTCGGTGCTTCCAAAACGCCGCCCATAGTTTTAAGCTGCCCAAACGGGCCCTAAATATATGCCACTATACTTATACTCTAATAGATTTATGATTCTATGTGTATTCATAGTAAAAAGTAGATATTATTTTTATGCTTTAAGGAGTTATTCATTAAGAAGAAAAAACCTTCAAGCGTTCATCCTTTAAATCTCTTGAGATTAAGTTTGTAGTAACATACTTCTCCCAATCTCTTAATTTTATCCAATTGCATTTTCATTGCATCATTTTGCAATCTTTGTATTCAAGGTTGTGCCTAATTTTATATAAGTTGGTGATATCCTTAGTTGTCAACAAGGTCTGAGAAGACTATGGAAGAAGGAGCCTTCCCTAGTGTTTACTAAGCATTTTCTTAGACGAGGTTACAATCTTAAGAAAGTAAGGGTATGATTTCCCTCAACGAAGTGTTGTGATAGTTTCATCACCTGCACTGCAAAGAAGTGAGCTTGTGAGTAAAAGCGCGGAGTGAAATCTTAGCTCGGATTAGAGGCCAAATGTGGAAATAAGCACAACCACATAAATATTGATTGTCCCATTTTACTTGTAGTTTAGATTTTGTTTCATTGCACATTTCATTTGCTTGAATGTCATATGTTGATTATGGAAATAAAATCACTTGTGCTCTTGAGTTGAGTTAATTATTTCCATTGTGAAGTTATATACATATGCTCTTGGCATTGATTTATTTGTATTAACATAATCTACCATGAAGGCAATTGTGTTTTCGTATTTGAGAAGATTAATCTAATAGGCTATTTTAGTAAGATCATCTTATATAATTGTGCTATTAGTTCAATTGCTTACCACTTGTTTAATCATTCATTCAACACCATTGATTATTTGTATTGTTACATTTGTAGGATAAATTTTAATTGGAAACAAGTTCATGCATTTATATAATAGACTATCATAATTGTGTTACATGGATCACTCAACTTACAGTATATCAATCTTGTATTGTCTGTTACTTACATATGTCGAATTATTCTTTTTGTTTGCAAATTTTATTGACATATTCTAAGCCTTTTCACATTACTTTTTTTTGCTATACTTCTTACTCCATGTTGTATTTTGCTTGATTGTGTAGAATTTGAGTTGAGAATAAATTTGCATGGAAATTCTATAGTGTAAAAAATTTACACATTCGATTCACTCTCTCATGGTGTGCCTTAAACAAGAAAAGGATCCATAAAAGCCATTAATTTAACACATTTTATAGCATCAACTACTAAATTTAAATTCAGCCCTATCGGCTACCATATGGACAATTCATGTGGCCTCATTGCAGTTGTAGATGTGTTTCGGAGTGAAGTATTATTCTTCATTAAGCTCATAATGGCAACATGAAATTTATCAGACATGCTTGATTGAAATAACAACGTGACTTATTTTCAATACCATCATAAGGAAAAGCTCAAGCCCACCCGATTCTCACAGAAAAAAGGAACCAAGAGTTTATTAGCAGTAAAATCAATCACATGGCAAAGAAAAAAATGTTGCAGTGTCTATGAAATTATATGCTAGTTCTGATTCAAGCAGGGTTGATCAATAATGAAACTAAAACCTCAAGCATGCTATAAAATTGAAGGTATTACTTCAATCTACACAGGACATATAGGTTTACGCCATAAGAGTTGTTGCTGATATGACTTACTAACGTAGAAGGATAGAAGCCAGTGCTGAAGTAAGAAAAAGGTATGCAATTTATATAAAACACCATAATAGTTGGTAGTAAATCAAATTAATAAACTTGCCTCCAATGCCACATTCCTTTTCTCCTCCAAATCAGCCTTATTTCCTGCAAGCGCAGTTACCATGCTTGGATTCCCTGGATCCGGTATGCACAATGCTCATATATAAATATCTAAGAAAAAAGAAAGCTAGAGAAATTCCTAGCCGAGCAAAATATCCATTTTAAAACTGAAAGGAAAACAGAACCTTGTTTCTGAAGCTCTTGCACCCACTTCTTTGCTTTATCAAATGAATCCTAAAACCCAATAACGTAAGAATCTAATTAAGAATTACAATTTGAAAGGAAATAAAGAAGACATATTTTCACCGGACAATATTCGATGATTTACTCACCTTGCTTGTGATATCATAGACGATGATGGCCGCCGCGGCTCCTCTATAATACATGGGTGCGAGACTGTGATACCTTTCCTGCCCCGCAGTGTCCCAGATCTCAAACTTCACCGTGGCGTCATTCAAAGCCAACGTCTGTGAAAAGAACGCCGCTCCGATCGTCGATTCCTGCGAACAAATCAATACAAATCCATTCAAATCGGACAAATCAACAACATCGGTTACAAACCGAGTAGAATCACCCGCCAGATCGAGAAAACGGAAAGGGAGAGAGAGAGAGAGAGAAACCTGGAATTCGAGAAATTGCCCTTTGACGAAACGCAGCACGAGGCTGGATTTTCCGGCACCCATGTCTCCAAGTAAAACCTGCAGTCTCAGAGAAAAACGAGATGTCAGCCTAGGGTAACATTGGGAAATCTAGGTGATAACACGGAGAAAAAACGGATGAAGAGTTGACTCACCAGCTTGGCGTTGATGTTGTTGTTGCCGGTGGTGGCCATGTCGCCTGGTAAGGGAGGAAAACAACAAGAAGAGCTATCAACTTCCCGCCGGTGGGCGACTAAGTGGCCGGAGGGGAAGAGAGGGAGGAAAGGTGTAGAGGTTTTGCTTCCACGCTAATAAATCAATTTCTTATAAAGTTGGCTAGCGCGTTTACACTACTTTTCTATTAATAATATCAAAATCATTCATATTTCATTAAAAATAAAATTACTTTAATTTTTAAGACTCCTATATTTGAAATATTTTACAATGAGTCCTTATCAAAAAAAACTATTATATATAATTTGTAAAAGTTCCACACAATTCCTTTATATTTATATATCTAACACCTAAACTTCAATTTTAGGAAAGCAGAAAAGCAGTCGAATTCTGGAATTGACGATCCTGACAAAGTCATACGGGAGCCTTCACCCCTGCACCTTTGCACACACTTAGATGATGTGATTATCACACTATTCATTAGAAGTGTGCTTGGCTAGGACTAGGATGCTTAGGTAGGCCTTTTAATGTCATGATTATATTTCTCTGCTAATTTGATTATCCAGACATCAGCTTTTATATCGCTTTGTGCATTTACTTGGTGTGGACATGCACACTAGTACATTAGAGGTGATCTTATGTGCATGGATCCATGCTTAAACACAAATAAAAAAGGAGGAGCAAGTAATGATTTAAAAAGCTAACATTTTCTATAGGTGCTGCAAAAGCTCGCCTCCTGCCAGACATAGCTCATATGTGTTGCATGAATATAACTTGTGCTAAATCTTCTACAGGTCATGTTTTTTTTTTATCATGTATTTGATAGATTTATAAGGATCGAGTCTGTATCAGAAATAAGGTACAGACACAGGTTTTGAGGCACATGAATTGAACCACATGATAAGGACCAAGAGCAGCTACTCATGTTTCGTGTCTTAATTCAAAATTCATATTCATTTATAGAAATATGATTGGGTTTGTATATGCGGAGTTCAACTATTTTTCCTGCTTTCCTATGATATATTATCTACCCAATGACACCGGCCTATTATAAGTTTTGTTTGACTTACTTTACTTTTCTTGGCATGTGCTTGCCAGTTACACTTTCTTTATTACTAGTTTTGTTTGAGAATCTTGAGAATATAATTTAGGTTTTTAAGGAACTAAGATTATAAATTTCAACAAAAATCCTAATAAATTATTATGAAAAAAATCAAAATTTAGGATTCAAATATTTCAACTATTTAAAACATGCACTTTACTTTTCAGCATGGTCTTTGAGCCAGTTTGAAAATGAGTTTAATGCATGACTATCACCCAAGTCATATTTAATACGGTCTTCACGTTTAGGATTGTGATAGATAAATGCAATCTATTTGCATGTCCTGAGAGGAAACCTTTGAGCTTCTTCGACCTGACTGACCCAACATAGATTTTTTTTAGTTGATTGTCTAGTATGCTTCGGGTGTTAGAGACTTCTTTGACCCATAAGAGAAGTAAATCATTTGTTAAGAGTGTTTTCAGCTTGGTAGCTGGATCTATCTTTTCTCTTCCTTCTGAGGGCATCTTCGCCAATTATTTGGCTAGTATAAGTTCCACTTTTGTGAGCTCTACCTTTATAGGTCGCAGGACTTGAAGTTTCATTCTTTTGCCTTAATGCTACTGAAGTCTCATTGGATGACATAATTTATGGATTGCTGACAAGGGATCTCTGGTAGGGTTGGGTTGATTACCTTCACGGTTAGGTAGACATAGGGTCTCCGTAGCAGGATGACAAATCCATGATATCCTGACCCAACTACCACTACCTACTTATGAATTTCTCCCCTTTCTATTGAAACCTCTTTTGAGCCATGCCATTCCCTTAAATATCACTGACATCATCTCGTGGACTCTGCATGCCTATGTGTCGCGTTCGTAGTGTATATATTGATTCACCCCTCACTATATGGCCTGATAAAGGTATTGAAAGCATAAGGATGCTCCCACTTGAGATAATTAAAATCCTTATAGTTTTTGGAATAACTAGATCATAAATTATGTAAGCAAAACACTTTTTATAGAGAATATTCTTGGGCATCCCCAAAGATATAATTAATCAAAGCAATACGATCCTTTGGGAGTACTCTTGAACCCATAACAAGCACAAAAACTTGATTCTCTGGTTATGAGTTTCTTTCATAGGGTTTTTTTCGCGGATATGTTTACAAGAAATTTTTTATCTGATCTATTTTCGAACGCACGCTTTTGGGCCATCACATGAATGCTACGTTATGACAGTTCTTCATATTCTTTTCAAAATTATTTGTACATTTTTGCCGTATTTTCTTTCTTTTTTTATTCCTCGCTGTTGGCATCAATTTTTGATATCGCGAGTGTAGAATGTCCACTCGAATACTATGAAACCTTGCTAGATACATGTGTTGATTCCCATAATGCATAACATCCATTTAAGAACCTCCGATGCGTGTTGAGAAGCATGCAGCCAGAGCTGTCCTGCTAGACTTTGACTTGCAATTAGGTAAAGGTTGGCCAGCATTTTGTCTGTTGAACGACTTCGATCAGACCAACAGATCTCATTTGATGCGTTAGTTGTGAATCATATCCAAATTGGCTCAATGCGAGCTCATTCAAAATTTATATTTTACTTTGTGAGGACACCCATATTACTGTGTTCTATACATGAGCGAGGAACGCGTATCTCAGCACATTTGAATATTAAAAAAGCTTTAAATTATAAAAAAATTAATATAAAAAAACTAAAAAAGGGATTAAAAATCTCTAAGCTTTTTTCATGTACAAGGGTCTTCCCTCATTTCACGTGACGATGTCCTAGCTCTCATTTTGGACGCACACCGCCCTTGCCTCTCCGGTCTCCCCTGGCCGACGCACGCTCACTGGTGAGCCATATATCTGGTATCCCTCTCAGTTGACATTCCTTTCATCAGAATCTCTCATGCTCGGTCGACTCCCACGTGAGGCTTTCTACCTTAGCTTTGCTTGCGTCGTCTCCCTCCTCGCCGATGAGCACCCAGCCTGTCGGATCCCCCTTGGTGACTAGCTAGGTGGGCAATGATTATACTTCAGTTTGACATAACTTTCGTGCCAGCCTTTGTTTGTCGTTAAAGGACAAATACTGACGAATTTTCTAACCGCACACGTATATAATAAAATCTAAAATTGTTTGAATTTTCATATTTTCGGAGCATGAAATTGGGCTTACCCAAAAATATTGGAGCAATTGATATGCCTTCAACAAATCTCCATCATCTAGTATGAATCTTGATACATGACACGAATCTCAAAGCAATCTTTTGAGCAAGAAACATTTGAACTTCAATTAAGAGTCAACTAGAGCTCTGATTTCAACAAACTTATAGTCAAATTGATCGGCTCAATGAGACAGACCCGATGATACTAAAATTGATTTATAGTCAAATTGATCGGCTCGATGAGACAGACCCGGTGATACTAAAATTGAATGATACTAAAATTGATCTAATCCAAGTCTAATCAAGCTCAGATCAAGCCATTAAATCACTTTCAAAAACTTTCGAGGCATATTTCGAATGTCAAGCTGATGTCAAATCCAATGAGCTTATAGTCAAATCGAACATTTCGACAAGACAAATCCAAGGAGCTCAAGGTCTTTCAATTCTGACATTGTTAAGGGACTCAAATGTTCATCAAACACTATACGATCAAAGAAAGCTCTTTGGACTTTCCAATCAAAGTGGTTCATATTTCTGCATTAATTACACCTGGAACTCCATAAATAGAGCACTACTCTTCTCATGAGTGAGAAGAAGAGCTTGAAGCCTGATGAAGAGCTTGAAGCATTGAGGAGCCGACTCAAACTCTTAGGTGGAAAGAAAAGATAGTCATAATATGCAACCCCTTAAGCGGAACCTCACTTCGGCCATAACATCAACTAATTTGGGTTTGATATATGTGTAGTTGATAATATTTACATTCTTTCTTGAAAAGTGTCATCCCTATAATACAACTTGCATTCATTGATATATATCAATCTATCTTCTCATATCTAGAACAAATTTGAATGCTAAATTTTTGTCAATATAAAGTTTATCACTTTAAATTTATTTGTTTAGTTGGTCTTCATTTGTAGTAAGATAAATGTTTGAAATCATCTCATTGCATATTATAACTTATTTTAATGCTTAAATTTCTAATTATAACAAAAAAATCAGAATATTTAGTGAAATCAAGTCAAGATTGTTATTGAGCCACAATTTGACACTTTGTTTAATAAAATTAATTAGTTTATGGGTGATTGAAATCAAACATCATATCCTAGTATATCAAGCTATGTTTATCACTTAAGTAAATATGACCGGCCGAAACATAGCAATCAATGTTATAATTTATACATTATAGTGATGTCCAAAACGAATAATTAAGTCGATAATATCGTCGATATGAATTTATTATTTTTTACTAACTATTAAAAATAGTTTGATTCTAGTGGACATTACACTTAATACTTATTACTTAAGAATGTCATATAAGTTGTGTTTAACTACAAATTAACCCATTACGGTTAAATTATGCAATCTATTATTTACATTCACCCAAATATTAAATTGATATATACATAGTTATCAAAGTTTAAATGTTAAATATGCAAATGTATATGAATTAATCAGTGGTATGTATGTAGATCATTATTTATTTATGCGAATAATTAAGTCGATAATATCGTCGATATGAATTTATTATTTTTTACTAACTATTAAAAATAGTTTGATTCTAGTGGACATTACATTTAATACTTATTACTTAAGAATGTCATATAAGTTGTGTTTAACCACAAATCAAACCATTACGGTTAAATTATGCAATCTATTATTTACAGTCACCTAAATATTAAATTGATATATACATAGTTATTAAAGTTTAAATGTTAAATATGCACATGTATATGAATTAATCAGTGGCATGTATGTAAATCATTATTTATTTATGGCTTTATTTCCAACCTAATTAACGCCAGCACCACAAATAATTAGCGGATAACTCCCAGCACACGCCTCCTCTTCACATTGGCTGCTGCAGCCTGCAGTACACGCAGTACCAATACGAGCAAAACAGTACAAATAGCCAACGATTGCTTCCACAACGCACAACTTGTACTGTTGT